GGAAGGGAAGGGAAGGGAAGGGAAGGGAAGGGAAGGGAAGGGAAGGGGAAAAGAGCAGCAGTCTTTGCATATGATCATTTTTGAAGGCTTGTTGCTCGACCTCATTAAGCAAAACTGAGAATATGTATATCTTGATCAGCCTGATTTTTTTATTCAAGATTATTTATGTCAGCTTCAGGCCAACTACAGCCTCTGGCGTGGTGACCCAAATGGTTTTTAGAGGAAAAAGAGAACACACTTAACAGACAGAGAAACTTAACAGTATATAAGCAAGATGAAACGGAAAGTATAGCAAACTGTCATGAGAAGAGGAATGAAAACCATCAAATTGTTTTTCAAAACTATATGCAATTGACTGCTGCTTATGTATATGATGAACCAGCAAGACAACCTGCAGTCTGCCTGGTTTTTCACCACAGAAGTAAAAAGTCTAAAAATCTTTATGTTTGAATGCATCCTGGTAAGTAAAGCTAATCAAATTTCTGTAACAACTAAGGAATATCTAGCACATTTAGCATATGCAGACAAGTTACTCTGATTGGTATTCTTCTGTCTACCCTATTGTTTCATTCAATTAAGAACTCTTTCCATGCTATTTTAAGATGGTACATAAACACGGTATCAGCGTATCACATGAATATCTGCCACTTTATTCATGCTTGCCAACAAAGTCGTGCTCCTTGCAAAGGAGCAGAAGTTACTAGTTTGTTTGATGAGAACTACTCATTCTTTTCTTTTCATGAGTACTAACTAAAATATTGCTGTCTCTGTTGCACAGCAGTGCCTGAATCCCTGCCTTGGTCTGGTGCCTCTCAAATACCTATGAGAACTCAAAGGCTGTGTCAAGGGAGGAAGCATTAAACTTTGAGGGGAACATCTGCATCTTGCCTCCTAAAACTAACCAGCGTGGATAAATGCTGACTCTGTAGGCTATAAACTGAAATAGAGACATTCATTTAAGTTCCTTTAACTGAATTTTTTTTCTATATTTGTTTGCAACAAGTGCATTTTGAAAGATATGTATGTACCACTTTTTGTAGGCGCCACAGTGCTTCAAGCCAACTTTCAATTTTGTTAAAAAATATCTGTCTGTTTCAGACCTGTAATTTTTCATCTGATGAGATATTTCTTGTGGATTTTAAGAAAGCTGGAACTGCATGTGTTAGAAGTTGTAACTTTGGACTTACTTTTCAGTGTTTGTTCAAACTGCATAACATGCAATACTGACCTGTTCTGCCCAGTCAGGTTTCTTGGCCTCGAATTCTCTTGTATCAATTTAAAAATGCAACCAAGTATGTTCATTTAAAACACTTTCACAATAATTGCAATAAGGCCAAGAACTATTTGAGAGCTAGAAGCCACAGCGCAGTTAATGAGGCTTTCTGGGAAAATACTTGCTACTGCTGTAGCAGCTCTTTCACAGAGGTCATGGCATGGAGCCAGGGGAGGTTGGTAGACAACTAGGCAACCAGAAAAGAACAAGTGTGTCAGCATGTACAGCTGATTACTGTGAGAATGATTTTCCATAAGCATAGCCTGCACAGTGTTTGTTTCAGAGGGGTTTAATTTTGCTCTCAACTCGCTAGCAACTAAGTTCTTTTTAACTGTGGTAAAAAGTCATTTGTTCAAATTAGAAGGAATAAGTCAGTATCATTTTTAATAATACCACATTGCAGTTGGCTTTTGTTTTGATTTCTGTTAGCTACGGTGATCATTTCTAAATTGTCTCAAAACTAGAAAATATGAGAAATCCTACCCTAAGTGTGAGAGAAGAAGGCAGCCTTTAGTCACTACATTTTCCTGCTTGTGAATGCCAGCTGGATTCCAGTGTATAATCATAAGAAATAAGAACACTTTCTTTTCTAGGTTTGTGGTTACAACTACAGCATAACTCAGTTGGGTCAGTTTTGTGGTGCTCTATCACCCATAATGTCTAACCAAGTATTCCTGAGTCGCAGTATCCGAAGCAGGTGTAAGTGTGTTTGGCTGCTGCACTGTGTCTGTGCTTCCTTCTCCAGCTACATTTGCATGCAAGGTCAGGGTTGAAAGAGTGCATTGCACAGATCTGTTTATGGAGGTGTCTTTCATGCTAATCCCTTGTTAGCTAGTTGCCTAAGGTATAAAGTAGACTGACTGGAATAAATGCATGAACTGCAAACCTTCAAAAGAAAAGGCAAAATCAATTCATACTTACGCTGAAAAATGTTTTTGACAAAATGATGATACACTCAGTTTTTAGTATTGTTCTTGAATATATAGAATGTTTGCCAAAATCTCTATAATCACCTGTGTTTTATTGCAGAAGTGCTGCAATCCATAACCTGAAGCCTGTTTAATTTTGCAACATGAGCTATCTTTATCTATTATTTATTGTCTTCCTGGATGAGGATAATCTGAACATCAGAAAGAAAGAACACCTTGGCTTTGAGGATGAGTTATAGGAGCGAGATGAAATTTGGTAGGAAGAAGTGCTGGTTAAGTGTCTCAGCTGAGGAAAGCAAGCATGGTGCAGAACTATCAGCATGGAGACTTGGGTAGGCAAATGCAAGCCGTGAGGACTTCAAAGGGAGAGATTGCTGCTAAAGCCAGGCAGGTGTTATTACACTTGTAAAGGCCTTAATGTACCTGACTGGAAATAATGCATATGATTCTGTCTGCCCGTTTTCAAGAAGATGAATTTTGTAGCTGAGAATGTGCTCTATCAAATAGTCTTATCATACTCTTTGTAACTGTTGTAGTTTCCATGGATATAAATAGGAGGCATTACTTTTGGAGTGATATACTCATGTATCTATCCTATGGATACATGTAATTGTTAAATGATGCACACTGACTGCATCCTTGTATATTAGATGAGAGACTTTATGAGAAATATCTCAGGGAAGAAATGCCTTCTTGAAAGAAAAGGCAGCATTGGTTCAAACGAAAATGTTTAGAAATTAATACTGAAAACATGTAGACAAGAAAGTATAGATTCCTAATTGTGAGGACAGTCTGTACCATTTCTCCAGCAGGGTTAAGTGGGTGCAAAAGAAGGAAACCACCTTTTACCTGGAGCTCGAGACATTTATCAAAGGGATTCTATAGA